CTGTGCTTCTCCCACCTCACCTACTTACTAAAACTACCCCCCTGAGAGAGGGCAAGAGCGCGGGGCCCTGCCCGTACCCTGCACTCGGAGAGGTCGGCTGTCTGGAAGTACTGCAGCGCTTCGTTGAAGGATATTGGGGGCGCGGCACTGGCCGACGTCCCCCCCAGCCCTGCAAGGAGGCAGAGAATGGTGTTAGCCCCCCCTCAAAGCCTCCCCTGCCCGTCCGGGAGCATCCCGGAGCTGAAATGAGCTCCCACCACAGGCCAGAGGTCTGGGGCTCACTCCCAGCTTCCAGTGCGGCAGGAGGGTGAAGACTTGGGTAGCTGGAGGAAGGCAGTGGGTCTCCCACCCACTCCCTCTCCCTCCAGACCTTCAGCACTTTCCCCAGCTCTCTCCCCCTCACCCTAAAAAACGCCCCCCAGCTGCACACCCACCCACTCCTGCCCTCTGGGACTCAGGTCCCTTCCCCTGCCCAGACCTTTTCTGTAATGACCCCCCTTATCCCCGGCACCAGCTGTACCTGACTGGATCTCTTCCACAGCCTCCCATTCCTCCTGGGCTCGCCGCAGCTCCTCACTGATCTCTGCCAAAAGAAAGGCACAGCTGGAGCTTAGAGGTGGCTGGCAGACCCGGAGGGGTGATTGCCTCCTTCCCCCAGCACTAAGCAGGACTTCTCAGAGCAGGATTTGCCCTTCTCTGGGGAAAAAACCTAACCAGATGCCCCCTCCAAGAGACTGCGAGGTTCCTCCTTGGCACGGTTGGGACAAAGCGAGGTGAAGACTTCGCCTAGTGCCTGGTTCCTTGGGCTCCCTTCGAGCTCCCTGGGTGTTTCCCCACCACCACCACCAGACAGCAAGATGGACACAAAGAAAGCAGAGGAAAAACTCACCAGTGTCCACAGGCGGCCCTGCTTCCTGCACCAGAGCCTGCAGGAGACCGTTATGTCTCAGAGCCGAGATCTAAGCCGGGACAGAGAGAGAGGGAACCATCAGCTGCCAGAATACACCTGGGAAACCAACCACCACCCAGGGCAGTGACCTGAAAACCCAGAGCTTTTCCCTCAGTGAGCCCAAACCCGTCCCTCTGCTCGCCCGCTGGGGACGGCGCTGGGCCAGAGCGGCTCAGGCCCCTTTGGGCACGTTTGTTGTTGCGTTACCAGCTCAGGTAACGGCAAGATCACTTTTGGTACCCCAAAAGATCATTTTATACAGGCATAAATGGAGAAGTAAAGCGGTCAGGTGGCGGGGTGCTGCCCGGGGAGGGGGCCAACAGCGAGGGGCACGCACCGGGGGGGTCTCGCCGGGCGGGGGGAAACGCTGCCGCTCCTCAGGCCGCTCCGAGCCCCCGGCGCCTCCGCTCATGCCCTGCGGGGAAGAAGGCGGCCTCCCCCCCTCTTCCCCAGCTCGGCGGGGGCCGCGGG